GCCGCCTCCTCGGGGGTCTGGCTGGGGAGGGAAGGAGAAGCTGTGTGCTGGGCAGGGAGTGCTCTGTGCTGTAGGGTGTCCGGGCCACGGTGGCACCCCGCAGGTATGGCCCTGTGAGGTTGGAGGGTCTTGGGTTAGGAGAAGGCCTAAGGTCTGTTCTGAAGGTGTGCCGTGGGGACACGACTGTGAGTGCCTCCTGCTGCTGGGCCCTGATGGGCATGGGGGCTTCCCCAGAGCTTGAGCCAGTGGGTGGCCTTGTGGGGGGAGTGTTGTGTGAATGCATAGCTGATTGGGTTTGGCACCACACCTGCGTTTGTAAGCACTGAAGGTGCTGCTATGTTGGAAAGCATCTAGAAAGTTATAGGGGTAGGGGGAAGGAGTCTCTGCATGGAGCCAGCTCGTGTCTGTTTTGGTCCTTGTAGCTCAGATGTTGCCTAGGGAGGAATACGCAGAGGAGATAGTCCTGTAAGTGGTGTAGCCTACCTGGTCTAGGCTGGTACTGCACAGAAATGGTCCTAGTGACTTTTAGGTCTTGATACACATGCTACTGGGATGAACTGCCTTGCTGCTTCAGGCTTAACTTTCTTGCAAGCTGTGTGGCCTAATGTAAGTGCTATCAAATCCTCTCAAAGGAGGGAGGAAGGTGGTTAGTGAAGGGCAGGGAAGAAGTGTCCAAGCCCAACAAGCTTCCTTTATGGATCTATACTGAGTGCTAGCATTGCAAAGTTATTTGAATGCCCCATTGTAGTGCTAAATCAATTACAGACTTGTGGTAATCTGGGTGTCCACAGGCCCCCTAAATCTTCTTATAAACATGTATCATAGCACCTTTAGGCACCAGCTTTTTCTTTTAACATTTATATGGAGCAAATACTGCTTCCTCATAGGCTCAGTAGGACTTAAGTAGCTGTCCTGCTTGGGAATAAAACATGGTTTTACTCTAAGCTTCTGTTTTCAGCTGCTTAGAAGTTCTTGGGCTTGTCTCATTCATGCTGGGTTTTGGCTCCTAGGTCTGTTTCATAAATCTAACCAGCCACTTGAGTGGACAGTGAGGAGAGGGGTAATGCCAGTTCTAAAACTTTTCTGCTGCTCTCTCTGTTTGTGTAACTCTGTGGCTTTGTTTATAAAGCTTAAGGCTTGGCAGGTATGCAATCCTCTGGACTGACTTCTTTTTTTTCTTTAAAGTAACTAGGTCTTAGAAGTGGTTAACTTTACAGCCCAAGGGAAATGATACATAGTACGTGCTGTTTTCTGAAAGGACTAGACTGAAGTCCTAATATTAATGAGTGTTTTGTATCTGGGCTGTCTAACTGCAAATGTCTCGGATGACTTGGAACAAACTACTTTGAGGGTATCGTGCCCTTTATATATACACCCTTTAAATAACCTGGAACTCTTATAGGATGGAATGTCACCAGATAACTTCCACACAGCATTAACCATTGGCTCTTATTAATCACTGGTGAAGAGACTTAAAGCTTCAGCAACAATAAAGTGTGCTTACATTTCAGCTTTTTTCCTACTACTTAGAGTGGTAATTGGAAGCAGGCCAAAGATGTTTGGGGAGGAGGAGTTGTGGGTAAGCGTATCAGTTGGTTGAATTCAGAGCATGAGGAAGGTCAGAGCAACTACAGTAACACAGCGGAGAGAGACCAGTTTTTTTCTGCACCAGTGAGTCTAGATACGCATTTTGCTACTGAATCTGAAAGATGCGGTGTAGCAAGCTGAAGCTGTAAGCATGAATTCTGCAATGCTGTTAATGTCCTCTAGTCTTGACAGACTGGAGGCTGTTTCAAATATACCTGAACTCTTTCAGTAAAATGTTTAAATTCTCCAGCTCAAGCATATGTGGCACCCTGATTTACAAGGAATATGGTTGGTGGTGCCTCAAAATTATTGCTTGCAATTGATAGTCAATAAGCCACTCTTAGTTCTGGAATGGTTGGTGTATGGAATGTTTTAGGGTACTGAAGTCAATAAGCCACTCTTAGTTCTGGAATGGTTGGTGTATGGAATGTTGTAGGGTACTGAAACAGTCACTGCTTGCTGCATAATAATGTAAAGTGGTGTTTTGAACCCCAAACTTGGTTTAAAAGGGTAGTAAATGCTCTTATCAATGCCAGACTTGTTAAATTGCTGCTCTTAAAGATGAATTTACTTCAGGGTTCTCTGAAAGTAGTGCTTGTCAGGAAAGAATATAGGAAACCTGAACCTGGCTGTCAGAGGCCTGCATCAGGGAAGTGGACTGTTAAAACACAGACACTAATGGAATTTGTCTTGCACACACTTTGACTGCAGAATGAAATTTATATTATTGTAGGATGAAACAGTCAATAATATCATTAAGTAGTGTTATTGATGTACTTGTTACTATCAGAACTAATACTCACAATAACTGGTAGTGGCAGCAGAGATACCAAAAGGGAGGTGGCTAATCAATGCCTAGAAAAGAAAGAAACCTGTAAATACTAACTACAACACATCATCTTGTTTTTCATTACTATCCCAGTAGAGTTAGTTTTTTCCTAGAGTCTGAGTAAAGAATAAATAACCTCTGCTAGTGAAACATTTGGGTTTGCATCATGGTCATGAAGTATGAGACAGTCAATAAATGTCTCTGAATAGCAGGACTAGAAAAGGCCTTGAGCAAGAACCTGATACAGCCATGTGCCCCAGGCCTCTGATGCAACCAGCCATACCTGTGTCCCTTCCAGCAGATGTTTGCATAACCCTTTTTTAAATTCCAGATGATGGAGATTCCAGAATATCTCTCCCAGGCAACGTGCTTCAGTGTTGAACTACTGCTGTTAGTTTCTTCTTCCTAACATCTAACCCAGATACTCCTCCCTGCAATTTAAGCCTGCAACTTCCTGTCTTTTCCACAACAGTCATGGAAAACAGATTCCCTTCCTCTATGCAGCAGTCTTTCATGTATGTAAAGACTGTTATGGCTCCTGTCAATTTTCTCTTCTCTAGACTAAACAAGCCTTACTTTTTTCCAATCTTTCCTTGCAGTCCAAGCTTTCTAGAGTTGATCACTCCAGCAGAATGACTTTGGAATCCCTCCAACTGGTCTGCTCAGTTATCAACTGGAAAACTCATTGTATGAATTATCACAACTTAGCCACTTGGCAGAACAGATCTTGCTAAAATAAATTGAATGCTTCACTCTTTGCAATCTCAAATCTGAGTTTTGAGCAGGAAGTCAGATGCTGGATAGTGGTCAGGCAACTGCAAGGACTTTAGAAGTTAGAGCAGTCTGAGGAAATTACCACCCCTTTCTCTGACAGGAACTTGCTGTGGGCCCAGAACTTTTCTGTGGTGAAAGTAAAAAAAAAAAAAAAAAACCAAAACAAAAAAAACCCCAACAAACTGGCAACTTAAACAACTGCATTTGCCATCCAGGTGGTACCTGAGGGCTCTGTACCTGGGTATTTATCTTCTGAAGGCAAAGCTTCTCTCACCTGGTAGCTATGCCATGGTGTGAAGCAGGGAAGAGCGCGTGCCCTCTCCTGAGGGAGGAGGGCCCCTTGCAAGGGCGCTGTGAGGGAAGGGCGGCTGCTGTGGGTGCTCGCTGCCCTGTGGCAGGAGCTGAGGGGGCTGTGGGAGGCAAAGCTGCAGCAGGGTTGCGGGGCTGCCAAGGCCTGCTGGACAGGGCTGGGGCAGCGGCCTCCTGGGGGGCAAAGCTCCTCCTGCGCTGCGGGCAGGAACGTCCCGGGAGGGGGAATGTCGGCCCCTGGCAGCCAGGGC